TACTGCCAGCCGAACATGTTCAGAGGCTGCAGCGGAAGAGGTTCAACCTCCAGTTCTGTCTCAACGGTTTCTGGCATCGATTGTAAACACGTGTGCCAGGTGCAGCACACCGTTTCTCCGTCAATTATTCAGGAACGCAACGCCTGCCTGAGATCACCTTTCCCGTCTCACAAACACAAACCTGTTTCATTTAGTTCAGTGTTTTCTACACTCTACAAACTGTATAGCTTTCCTGCCGCCAATGATCGCTACCCGGACCACAGCTGCCGGAGAGGCTGTTGCTATAGGAACAGCGGCACACAAGGCAGACAGACAGACGGGAAGATGTCAATTAGATTATTGCCGGAAGAAACATGGTTCTCCCTTCAAAATAAAAGCGGGTCCTGTCGCAAAGGAGACCCAAAACTAAGGAGTGTCATGGCCAGTTAGAAATGTCATGTGACAGACAGCCAGCAATTAATAGTCCAATGGTGCTCCAGTGTTTCATGAGAAATACAGATCTCTCCCTGCAGACTGGCCACTCCAAGCGGTTCATGTCTGGAAATCTGTGTGAACAGATCGCTAAAGAGCTGTGTGAGGGCAGAATGGAACCGGCTATATGGAGGTCAGCGAAGGCAGCAGATCTGATGGACGTTGGAGATCCTGAGCCAAGCCACCTTCCAAATTTGTTCACTCTGCGAAAAGCCAAACAAGAGAGAAAAGACTTGGAATTAGGAGATAAGGACCCCATTGCATCTCTGCAATTGTTAAAATATAGTGTTCCTTACAGTGGTAGCATCCGAGATATTGGACTGGACAGGTTTTTCTGTCACTACTGGAGTCAAACACAGATGCATGTTTACAAGACATTGTCAAAAAAAATCTCCCCCAACTGTGTGTTTTGATGCAAGTTGTGAAAAAACTGCTGAGACCAAATGGCAAATCTGGCCATATCTTCCTTTATCAAGGTATTCTGAAAGAAAACAATTGCCCCAGTGTCCCAGTGGTGCAAATGCTGTCAGAGAAACATGATGTTAATGCCATGGTAAACTGGTTGACAGAATGGATTCGTGCAGGTGCACCTGTGCCAAAGGAAGCTGTGAGTGACTTTTCTCTGGCATTTCTGGGAGCTCTGGTCAAGGCTTTCACTCCTCATCCTGATCTACAGTCCTACCTTAATGAATGCTTTTATGTCCTTCTTGGAACCCAGTCTACCAAACTCCCCCCTTGTTTTATCAGGGTTGAATATTCCGCACTGCATCAAGATGATATGCCAATGGGACTGCCTGAAGAAGAAAACACATCGTGTTAAAGATTTCTTTGTCAGGTCATTAGCAAAACGTCTTCAGTCTCAATGCTTGGACCATGCAAAACAGCTCCTACATGCTATCACTGTTGTGGCCCTCAGTGAGGCAGAAGGTGGTGACAGTTCTGGAGCCCCTCTTCCTTCAGAAAGGTGCAAGAAATACCTGAAAGCCCAAATTGCTCAAGACTCCATCATCATTCCAGATGAACAGACAGAGGAAAGTGAGAGAGTCGATTCAGTTGATGAGATCCAGACTGACCTACGACACTGGGTAACAGAAACATGTGAGGAGAGCAGGTCACCTGCTGCAGCAAACGGGGATAGAGATAACATTCACTTTCTCCCTGAGATTATTCCTCATATAATAAGACTGGCAAGTTACTTGCCATTCTGGACAGGAATAATGGTCCCTCTCTTCCAAAGAACCAGCATCACAGCAAGTTCAGCCACTGTTGAAGCTGAGTTCAAAAACATAAAACATGGCCTTTTCAAACATGAAAACTTGCCTGTTCGAGTTGATCGCTTAATTGCTCGTCATCTTTCCTTCATCGAGGGAAATATGCGGATTTGTTCTGCAAAAGAAAAGGTCAAAGATGAGGCAACAGTGGGATCACTGAAAGTCACAGATGCCAATTCTGGATCCATGACGACTCACAGTGCAGAAGACAAAATAAAAATGGATGCTCACCTGTTTGTGGTATCTGATGCTGCCACAAACATTCTCCAGGCTGATGAAGATGCAGTTGAGAACTGGAGGAGCCTAGCTGTTCCACCCAAAAAAAGGAAGTGGACTTCCTACCTCTCTTCATGTACCAAATGGCTCCATGCAGATGAAACTTTTGGGGCCAAAAGAGTGAAGGTGGGATTATTAAAAAATGGAAACCTTCATCAGCCTATTAGATTAGGGGAATCAACAATCTCTGTGCTCAATACCTGTGCATCTGATGCATTTTTTCAGTGCTTATGTTGTGCCTTCTGTGACAGCTCAACATTTCAAAATGCTGTTCTGAAGGACAGTGAAAACCCAGTCCTGCAGCTGGTGAAAGCCATTGCCACAGATGGTGTGAGCCAACAAACCTACAGAAGGAGAGCAGAGCTGCAGTTCAAAAAAGCGCCCCGCCGACAGCCAAACCCATCTGTTCTCTGATTGGATTGTTACATTTGTGATTGACATGACATTGACCAATCAGATGAAAGGAAGAAAAATAGGGTCAAAATTCGTACTTGTAACTTGCAGGGTTTTTTTGGCTAAGTCCACAGACAAATCTTTTGTACGCACAGACAAATCTTTTTTACACATACAAATCTTTTTTACGCACACACAAATCTTTTTTACACATACAAATCTTTTTTACGCACACACAAATCTTTTTTATGCACACACAAATCTTTTTTACGCACACACAAATCTTTTTTACACATACAAATCTTTTTTACGCACACACAAATTCTTTTTACACACACAAATCTTTTTTACACATACAAATCTTTTTTACAAGTACAAAATATTTATGACCACATTTTGAGCCCATAGAACAGTCTTTAAAACACACAGAGAGTATAAAATCACTTTTTTTGATGTTGACAGATCAGCCTCGTGTGTCTTTCGACTCTCCTTCTCCAGATCCACCTGGCCAAGGGAGAGAAGAGAAATGAGGGGTCACATTGTGCAAACAAAACAGTGGAGCAAAGCTGCCACGTGTGGGTCACATTTCTCTTTTCCAGCACTTCATCCTGTTAAGTAGGATAGATCCCTTCTGACCTATAGCTGGTAGAGGATGTTTTTTTGCTTCAGTTTGGTAGCTCTGTCTCCCAGGCAACCATAGTCCCATCCGGTGAACAGGATCATGCTGTAACTGCTCACTATTGTGTATTGCTCACTATCCTGTACTTTGTTTTCAAACTCCATTACAGTTTACTTCACACCACAAACCCTTTGTAAAAAATTAAAGAAATAAAAGTAAACTGCAATAAATTACAGGAAGCAATACAATAAAATAGCCTACTAACTCTTTTACACTACGTACACACGTACACGTTTTTGTTTTGTTTTTTGCTGTTTTTTGCTGTCTTTTTCTGTCGGTTTGGACCTTTTGTCCACATGTAAACTGTGTTTTGGATAATAAAAAAAACTGAGATTTTTAACCATGTTTTTATTAGCTGCATTATGTTTTGGCTTTTGTGTTTTGGTTCTATCAAGCTTCAAATCCCCCTACATTAGCAGTTTTTCACGTATCTACGTAAACATTTTCCACAGTAAAAAAAAAAATTTTCAAAATGTTTTTAAAAACCTAATTTCAAAAACCTTTTTCAAATTACAAATTAAACTCATTTTCAAAATGCTTTAAAATAAAAAAAAGACAAAATTAATTTAATATTACACTTTAATATTACTTTACAAATAGGCACTTGGATTATATTTTATAACAGTATTAAACAAGAGCAAGTTTCATTTTCCCATGGTTTTACTACCACACTGGGGCACATGTTGTCGTGGAATTTTGTAAAAAAAAGTCTGCAACACGGAAAGAGCTGTGATCAAGCTATTTATTACTATTTATTACCAAAACACATCTAACATCATACTTCACAGTCATGCAGGCTCTACCGTTTTGGGGGATGTAATGGGGGTGAGGGAGGGGGGCGTACAGCCCAACCAAGTGCACTGGAAGTCTGTCAAAAGAGGGTTTGAGTTCACATTAATGGTTGTAGGTGAGTCTGGTCTCGGGAAATCGACTCTCATCAACTCCCTTTTCCTGACTGACCTCTACTCTAAGGACTGCCCTGGCCCCTCCTGCAGGATTAAAATGTCATACCTCTCATCGCAAAGGCTGACACACTCACCCCAGAAGAGTGCCATCTTTAAAAAAAAAAAAAAAAAACAGATTATGAAGAAAATACAGGAACACAAAATTAAAATCTATGAGTTTCCTGATGTAGATGAGGATGACGACAATAAGCTGGTCCGGAAGATCAAGGAAAAAATGCCGCTGGCAGTGGTCGGCAGCAATGTCGTGATCGAAGTGAACAGCAAGAAGGTCAGAGGTTGTCAGTACCCATGGGGTGTGGCAGAAGTCGAGAATGTGGAACAATTCGACTTCACTGTGCTGCGCAACATGCTGATCAGGACCCATATGCAGGATCTGAAGGACGTCACCAACAACATCAACTACAAGAACTACCGCAGTAAGAAAATTGCTTCACGATGATCGAGTGACCACAAACCACGGTTCCCAGCATCGCTCAGCAGAACCTAGAGGGCTACGTGGGCTTTGCCAGCCTCCCAAACCAAGTACACCGAAAATCTAGTCTTGACAACAAAGGATAAAAAGACGGTCCTTCTTAAACTACACAAACAATTTGGACATGCATCAGTTGACAGACTGCAAAAACTTCTGTCTTGCTCAGGCAATAGTGATGATGAAAGCATTACAATCCTGAAGAATATTATAAAAAACTGTAAAACATGCATCCGATACGGTAAACCAAAACATAAGCCTGCAGTGGGTTTACCCATGGCTTCAACATACAATGAAACTGTTGCAGTGGACCTGCATGAGCTTGAGCCGGGACTGTGGTATCTACATGCCATTGACCATTTCACAAGATTCAGTGCAGGAAGTATCATCACCACAAAAAGACCCAGGGAGATAGTGAAGCACTTTATCCACTGCTGGATAAGCATTCACGGTCCACCGCACAGACTATTCAGTGACAATGGCAGTGAATTTAATAATGAAGAAATAAGAGACATCTGAGAGAGATCTGCCTTCAGTCCTTACTGACAGACCCCCAGCTTTGGAAACTGAAATGAGTACATGGATAGCCCAGCACACTACAACGTTTCATGCCATGAGACAAGCTTTTACAGAGGCTGAAACCGTGGTTCCCAGCATCGCTCAGCAGAACCTAGAGGGCTACGTGGGCTTTGCCAGCCTCCCAGACCAAGTACACCGAAAATCTAGTGTGTCAAGAGAGGGTTTGAATTCACATTAATGGTTGTAGGGAGGTAGGTGAGTCTGGTCTCGTGAAATCGACTCTCATCAACTCCCTGTTCCTGACTGACCTCTACTCTAAGGACTGCCCTGTAAGTTCTTGTAAGTCACCTAAAAAATACATTTTGAGGTCTGTATAGGAATATCTTTTATCCATGTGTTATTGTTTAACAAGTGAATTAATAGGTTAATGTGTCGGTGTAAAAACAATGAAAATGGAAAAAAACAGAGTAAACAAAGGAGAAAAAAAAGAGTGTAGAAATGTGCGTCAGAGGAATAGTCTCCAACTAGTATAAAGTTTACCTTAAATAGTACTTACAGACTTATGTTCACTGTTTAATCCGTTTACTGTCACTTGGATTTGTTGCTGCCATGCTTTGCATTAGTTCTCCATTTGGTGTGTTGATAGCAATTTTGAATATTCTTACACAGTAAAAAAAAGTTTGAAAATGTTTTTTTAATTAGATTTTTTTAAAAAGCATTTTGAAAATGAGTTTCATTTTTAATCTGAAAAAGCACAAAGCAGATTTAAAAAAAAAAAAAAGTTAAAAAATCTCAGTTTTTGGGATTTTTACGTGTGGACGAAAGGCCCAAACCGACAGAAAAAGACAGCAAAAACAAAAAACAAAAAATACCTGTGTATGTAGCGTAAAGGAGTTAGTAGACTATTTTATTGTATTGCTTTCTGCTATTTATAGCAGTTTACTTTTATTTCTTTTATTGTTTACAAAAGATTTGTGGTGTGAAATTAACTGCAATGGAGTTTGAAAACAAAATTAGCTTTGGTCACCACTATGGTAATGTTTTTCTAAAATTAGGTTTTTAATGAATGATGAAGGTCAAGGAGAAGAAGCAGAAACTGAAGGACTCAGAGGCTGAGCTTCAGCGACGTCATGAGCAGATGAAGAAGAACCTGGAGGCGCAGTTCAAAGAGCTGGAGGAGAAGAGGCGAGGGTTCGAGGAGGAGAACAGTATTTTGTCTCTATCCACCAAATTTGAAAATGTTTTTTAAAATGAGGTTTTTAAAAAAACATTTTGATAATTAGGCTTATAACTCTCAGTGAAAGTGTGGTCATAAGTGACGAAAAAAATTAAAGTGTGACATCTGCTATTAAAAATGTACCCTTGTCAGACGGTTCAAATATTCGTAGAGTTGAAGTTCTGGCTACAGACAAGTTTGAAATGCTGGTGGATGACCTGAAGAAAACTGATGTAATGTCTATAGCAGAAGATGGGTTCCCACACAGAACTGATAATGCACAGTTGTGCATATATGTCCGTTTTTTGGATGGCAAATTGCTCGGCTTACTACTGTTAGAGGGACACACAGCTGACGAAATAATGTTTGAGAAGATTTCAGCTTTTTTTGAGGAAAATGGTCTGGAAATGAAGCGTGTCTGTATACTTGTGACGGATGGGGCTCCATCCATGGCAGGAAAAGTGTGTTGAGTGTGGTCAGCAAAATATTTATTTTAATTTGAAAGGGAGTTATCAAAATGTTTTTTTGTTATTATTTGAAATGTGCAAAAAAACAAAAACAAACAACGTTTGGTTATAGCTCCCCTTTTTTAAAAATGGATCTTTTGGTGTGCATTTGTGAGCGGTCACCAGATTTACAGGGGGAAAAAGAATAAAACATTACTTGTTTTTCAATACACTCTTGTGGGTTTGAAATTGATCATGATCTGCTGATTACTGGCTGCAAAAAAATATCTGGGCCAGATAAATTCCTCGGTTTGAAAATCTGTCCCAACTAACTTTTTAGTTGAATAGCCATGGTGTAGACTCACAACTTAGGAATGAACAAAATGCATACAGAAAACATGAATTTAAATTTATTTTTTTTTAAAGTAAATTAAGTATTCAAAACAAATATCGGGATTTGGGTTGTGACAGCGGCTGTGTTGAATGTGGAAGCCACGTCCGAAGTTCCCATGACGCCTGTGTCTTTCTAAATGGATGGACAGTAACTAGGTGTGTATAAACAGAGATAGTCAGATTAATAACAATGGTATTTTGTCTCCACCATTGTAGAAGTAATCTCATGGAAACAATAACGTGGCGCACAGCGTCACGTCAAAAATGGTGCACACCTTTGGTGTTGCATGACTAAATCGTCGTTTTCCTTGTCCACACGTAAACCTTTTACGTGGCAGGAGTTTTTAAAAAATCACAGGTTTCAGTGATCGAAAATGCTGTCTATGTTATTATCAAAACTGATGGAATTATAGATGGAGAAAAGTACCATCACATATTGATCCACCATTCAATAACATCTGGACATCTGTCTGATTGGAAGCAGCTTCAATATTTGGCATGACAATGATCCCGAACACACTGCCAATGTAGTAAAAGCACACATGACATCAGTCGTGGATCGGCCTCCCCAGACCCCGGACTTCACCATTAATTAAACCAGCGTGGGATCAGCTTGACAGAGAACAGAACAAAAGGCAGCCAACATCCAAAGAAGAGCTTTGAATGAGCTTCAAGAAGCCTGGAGAAATATTCCATATTCCATATTGCAAGAAAGCTCCAAAACACTTTTTTAAGCTTTAACTGAACTTCCAAAACAGAGCTACCTAGATCACTTAAATTACACAACTGAAAGCATGTGTGTATTGTTTGTGTATTTATACACAAGCACTCATATATATTCAAATAATTTAAAAAAAAAAAAAAGTTCCTTAACCTGTTACTACCACACACCAAATCCGGTCGTTGGTACTTGCTGGCTTGTGTAACCACTAGGTAACAAAAGCCTCAACAGTGCGCCCTGGCATCCTGGAGCACTTCTGTTGTGTTTTGTACGTGTTTTGGAGTTTTTACGTGATTGTACTGCTTTGTCTCTAGGGGCCACCGTAAATATACTTTTATTTATTCACTCCACATAAAGTGTAATAAATAAATCATGTAATACAAAAACCAACTAGTCACAGTTCAACTTTTAACTATTTAAATTTTCAATTTTTTCCTTTTAAACAAATTTAAAAATTTACAAATTTAAAAGGAAACAACACAAAACACTGCAAACCACAACACAATTAAATATAAATTAAAATATGAAAACAAAAAGAACATGCATATTCTCTGTCATATGGGCCTGCATGAATAAACTTTCTGAATCCTTTATCATTTGCAACTGAAATTAGTTGTGGATGATTACTATAACTTTCTAATGTGACGTTGTTGTCCCTGGCTCTCTTTCTAAGTCTCTCCCTCCCGCTCTGTTCCTGTGCTACTGCCAGTGTAACTACCGCCCCTCCCCCCTCCGCCCAGCACAAAGCACAAGGCCTGCAGGCGGAGTAAAGCGGGGAAAAAGTGCACCCCCCCACCCACTTGAAACGTAAAGGCAAATAGGCAGAGCGGTTAGTGTATGGGTAAAAAAATGTGGTAATTTTTCTTGCATGGCCTCCACAACAATTCAGACCATACTTCTCCTGTCCTCTGGATGAGCTCTGTCTCCTCTTGTGATTGCATGCGACAGTCGGAGTGTAAATCTTTCCCAAGGAATCTGGAAGTGTGAGACCCAAGAGCTGGAGTAATGGTTGTACATAGTGGTGGACGTGGAGGAGGAGGGGTGAGGTGGATGTCCCCAGCCTTTAAACATCTGTGTTGGCCCGCAGTTTCACAATCGGTTCATCCCTACAAATACCCACAAGTTAAGTCTGTACAATCAGTTTCTGTTGAAATACTTGTTTACAGGAAAAGTTAAAGTATATGAACATTTAACCTGACCTTCAAATGTGTATCAAAGTAAGAAAAGGACAAGGCATTAACGAATCCTTTCTGTTTTGTTTTGGTTTCGAGTGTACCTGTTAAACCTGTAACCCTCGTCCCATCAGCGCAGCAGGCTAGAACTAAACACTGTCGGTAGAAAAAACGAGAAAATGCACCTTGGGCCTTTTTATAGATAACAAAAAAATGGCCAAAGCGTCTTTTTTTCTGAAATATAACGCTTTCTTTTTCCTCACTAGCCTCAGACCACCATTTATGTTGTCATAAGTGTTATATTTCACTTTAGTTTATTTTTATATATACCGAGCCAGCTGAAGTAATAACTTCTTTTGTATGTTTAGAAAAATCCTCAGAGACTTGACAGCTGCGTGTCCACTGTTAAAGAAAAATACTTCCAAATATTAACAGTGATTCTGGACACATTGAAAAAAATAAAATAAAAACAGCCCACATGTTATTTCAGGCTACGTCCACACGTACACGGGTATTTTTGAGTAAGATTTATTATGAGAAAACATGTGCTCATTATGAAGTGGGGAGAACACCAGTTTTGTGACGGAAACATAAACATAAAAGAATGCCTTTTAAAAATTATTATTATTATTATAGCCCTTCAATTAAAACACGTGCTCTGGTAATTTTGAATTATTAAATGATTTCTATAGTGACAATATAGGAGACTGTTTTACCACTAGGTGTCGCTCTGTGCACTTTAAGTGTTAGGGCGATTTTCAATGGCACTAAATGCGATATTTTATACATTA